TATCCTGAATCCCCCAAAAGTAGCCCATCATGCTGACCTAAAATACAATTAAATTAATTCAATGTTTTTTTTTAAAAAAATCTAAATTATTACATGCATCCTTATTTTCATTTATTTCAAAAACAAATTGGCCGTTTTCTTAAACAAGAGGCCCAAGGGCCTTGAATGGCTCTTCTGATGAATTGTACAATCTATCACATACTTCTTTTTGAAGTCTTCAGCTCTTATTAATAAGTATCCAAAGACCCAAGATGCATCAACTGACAAAGTTTGATGATCAAAAGCTAGGCCTTAAAATGTCCAAAATATATTGTCGCAAAATCAATTTGAAAACAAATGCCTGCAAAATTATAAAAGAAGGTCGCTGTGACCTATTTTTGAGTTAACATGATGTAAAGCCCTAAGATTCACCAGTCGTACAAGATTTGATGATCCTTGTCTTTATAGTACACAAAATATTAATTAACAAATTTATTTAGTGTAAATTTTGGTCAACTTTGAAGTGACCTTGAGACCATGCCCTTTGCCCCAGGGTAATTCCCCTTGCAAATTTTAATCTTAAACATATCCTGATCCTTGTAAGTAAGTTTGGTGAAAATTTGCCTGGTGGTTCAATCTGGAATGGAAGATTTTTAGAAACCAGTACCTTTGGTTTTATTTTCCTGATTATCTCCCTTTGTTTAAGAGTTCCAATGCTAGTTTTAGTTTATTAATGGTTAATTTTTTTTACTACTTCCACAATAAAAGCTTTATGTACCCCTTGGGCCAAGGATACCCTGTTACAAATTTGACAATAATTAGCCAGCAATTGAGGGGTTCTTGAGTTATGGTCTAAAAAGTTCACCACACACAGCACAAATTTTAATGGCCATAGTATATTATAGCTCTTTGAGCCTTTGGCTCAGAAGAGCTAATAAAATTCAAAAGATCTTATTAATTTGGAGACCTTAGGAACAGATTGGACTAGAATTATAACTAATAAGCAATTGGTTTTGATCACTTTTCACACTGGATATCAGTTCTCCTAAAAAAGATATGTAAAATAATGTAAAAGTTATAACTATCTGTTAGGAGCAAATATTTAAATCTTGGGAATTGAGGCACATTATTTGTTATTTAATGAAAAAAAGGAGGAATCTCACCATTTTCAAACTGTGCACACAGTGCTGATTGTCGGAACACCCTGCTGTCATGAACAGATCCAGACCAGCTTGCAACGCAACTTGTTATCTTAAATGTGTGGTCACAGCACATCTGTATATTAATTAAAGTGTAAGGGAATTTCACAATGGACAAAAATTTAATTTATTAACAATATAAGTATATATAGTACATTATGTTCCTGAAATGTGTATGAAAATAAAAATCTAGTAAATCAAGTCAAGATGATGTACCAAGATATTACTTTATTGGTCAGTAAGCATATGACAAGCATTATGACTTATAGGTAACTACATGTATATTCTTCTTTATTTCTTCTTTTTTTCAAAAATAAGTTTCTAAAGGATATAATATTATACAACTCTTACATTTTTGAATTGAATGCATCATTTTTCTGTTTATTCATTTAAAATTTCCTTATCATAAAAGATTAAAATGACTTTCCAATAATCTCATTAGATCCAGATGATCAAACTAGACTCATACTTTTACCTGCACATTCAAAGAATGATAGCCTTTTCTGTTGACATAATCTGCTTCATTCAGTTTTGGCTTCCTAAATTCTTATCTGAGTGCCATCCAAGCATCCAAGGACATTTGGAAAACCTAAATTTCATTAGAATAATGAATACATGTGTCACACTCACTGGCCTCTCTAGATAACTTAATAATTAATGCAATTATTTAACATCAAATAATAATTAAGCTCTTTAATATATACTATATATATAAAATATTAATTATACAATACAAAAAATTTCAAATTTGATAAATAATTTTCTTTTTCTTATGTTATTATTGTATATCGCTAAAGTATTCAAAATTATATAGAGTCCCTGTTCTCTCAATGAAATTAAAGTGTACAGTGCAGTAAAAATTTTTTATTTAATAGCTGCAATTAATGGACAAATATAATTACACATTCCATGTTCAATTATTAATTTATTTATCTTGTTTTGTTTTTTTATAATATTGTACAAAGTATGGAAAAAAGTGAAACAGTATTGTATTGAAGGTAATTTACGCTTTCATTAACTGGGGTCTAAAAATAACTGTAGGACCCAAACTAATGGGAGTCGAAACGACAAGGTGTCGATTTTCTGACGTCATTTTCAACAACTTTCATTTTCTTACCTGCAATGGCAGAGAAAGCACGTTTCACGGATAAGGCGTCGTTTCCAGTGGGGAATCTAACAAATCTCCGGCACAGATTTGAAAGATGGGAAGCAATATCACGAATACATCTGCCGGCCGTACTCCGAGAGATATTCAACGAGTCCCCGATGAGCAGATGGATGGCAGATCAGCCTAGATGATATTTCACTGGATTATTTAATGAATATTACTCTACTGAGTTACCTGGTTACATGGTAAGTTTTAACAAACTTTTCTTTATACATTTTCTATGAAGGTCATCTTTGTATTTATTCATTATTACTGTGTTATATACCTTATGTTTAGAACATTCATATAAACACTGCCATTGTTTACCCTGAAATACACTAGGACACTAAAAGATCCTCAAAATGTTGATAAATCTTTTTTGCATGAGTTATGATCATATTGTCTCACATTCCTTTTATTGGATCAGTATTCTAAATATTCTTATGAGGAGACTCCTAGCATATCTTATAAAATACTGATACATGCTTTTAAAACAACTAAAGTGATATTCTCAGTTGTCATTTCTAATATTTCTATGAATCTTTAATCACAGTGACCAAAAGAAGGATATGGAGATAATCAATCAGATCATATTATGCCAATGAATCTTTTGTCTCAAATCTTTTTTAATGAAATATACAGAATCTTTTGCCTTATTTGTCACTCATATTTTTACATTCTGGTGCAACAGTGGCCCAATGAAAGTGGGAAAAACTCAGTCTGAGCATCTCTGTAAATCTATAAACATGTGTGCCCCCCCCCCTTTTTTTTTAAACCTTCATGTATATACATGTATGTATTTTATTTAGTCAGTGATTTCAAACATCAACATGTAAAATATATATTGAGTACTTTAAAAGTGAATATACATGATTTGTACACCCTGAATATTCTGACATACTAATGGTGACATCAGTTAAAAGAGTAATTAGTTATGTAAAATTCAGTTTATATGAATGTAAATGGGGTATTTATTCTCAGTTCATGTAAGGTATAATTTGCATGTAACCCAGAGTGTATTTAATATTACTATGATGGGTCATTCTGTGATTGAATTTAAATCAGAAAAAATGTTTACTAAATTTTGGTAAAATACATATGGTATCTTTTACATTTCTGTCCTGTTTGTCTGTCAATTGTTGCTTTACTTCCTTTGTAAAATGAGGTTAATTTGTGTATCACTGAATATTGTATGCTTTTTTTCAGGATCAGCTGAGATGTTATTTCACTGGATTATTTAATTGGGCATATAATTGGATAATTCTGGTAAGTTTGTCTTTGTTTTGTTTACATTTCCTATGAAGGTCATCTTTGCATTTAACCATGATTATATGGTTTAATTTAATTACTGTGTAATTCTTATGTGATCTAATATCTCTAACATTCATATAAGCACAGTCTTATTTTGTCTAAAATATACTAAGGAAACTTCATATTGTTAATAAGTCCTTTTGCATAAATTATGATATAATGTCATAATTCATTATGTCTGTTACCCATGGAATTCAGACTTACTAAATTGTGATCTATAAGGAATGTAATAAAAGAAAAAGTAAGAATCTACAAAAGGTTTATCCTTGTTTTGATTCTAAATATGTGGTATATATGGCATACATATATTTTCATTTTCACTTTTGTTTCTTGGTAATGAGCTTTTCAAAAAATGTAGGACTACATGTTGTATATGCTAATATCTTTTTGTATGCTGTACTGACAGGTATTAAACAAAATTGAATATGCTGTTAAGAGAAAGTCTGTTAGTGTCTAAAAATTACACTGATAATCATTTTGTATTTGTGATATTAATACAGTAACTGTGCTTCTTTTGTTATCTAAAGATAACATGATGAACTATTTTCATGAACTTTTTGGCACTGTATTTAAACATGCAATGTTTCATGCAGTTCCTTGTCATATTAACAAAATGATTATATTTTCTACAGTCCTCAACCTGGAAGATATGTTTTATTCCCAACCATCTATAATCCATTCTCTATGAAGTTCAGCCTGTCTGCCCAAATTCCTTTGGAAATACATAGTTAGTCAACCAACATAGAAACAATCAAACTTGAAGGTAAAGTTTCAATGAGATATCATTTTCATTTATTTAATTCTGTTTTATTTAAATGTTTATATTTTAAAATGGATAAAAAAAAATGGATAAAAAACATCTGATAATGGAAATCAATATCATAAAGATAGTAAGTTTTTTAGTGTCTAAATAATTAATCTGATAATCATTTTATTTATGATATTAATACAGTAGTTGTGCTTGTTTATTATCTATAGATAACATGATGAACTTTTCTCATCTGGAGTTAATGTTAAAAACAATTTTTTGAGATTAAAAACAAATATTTTCATGATCTTTTTTGGCATTGTACATGTTGTATTTAAACATGCATTGTTTCATGCAGTACTCTGTCATATTAACAAAATGGTTTTATTTCTACAGTCCTCAACATGGAAGAATTGGTTTGTTCTTAACCATCTATAATCCATTCTCTATGAAGTGAAGCCTGGCTGCTGGTCTTCCTTTGGAAATACACAGTTAGTCAATCAACATAGAAACACACAAACTTGAAGGTAAAGTTTCAATGAGATACAATTGTAATTTTTATTTATTTATTTATTTATTTACATATGCATTTTTATATTTTTGAATTGATAAGTAAATGATATATGATTTTTTTAAAATAAAGAGGGCTTGGTGGTCATGGTCATGTTTAAACTCTATTGATATCCTTTAGAAGAAGAAGAAAAGGCATAAAAATTCATGATCAAATTTTTAAAACTAAAATGTATGAAATTTTTCTTTGCCAAATGATAGTTAACAGCTGAAGATAACATATTTATAGAATAAGTTAAATATGGCTAATTTGTTAACCCCAGCTTCCTTAATAGCATAATTGGTAAAGATAGGAAGTTTTGACTTCAATTGCTGATGAATTCTGAATTTTCCATTTAATATTAACATTCTATCAAAGAGAAAGAATACTATAATGTGGCTCATTAGGATGACCAGAAAAGAAATCTTAATGACCCTCTTAACTATGTATAAAGATTGTAACCTTATAACTGATGTAAGATGATCTGATTGTGTGGAAATAAAATTTCCTGGTGTTTCTACTACCCAAGATCTTCTTATGAGTGTATGGGACTGCTGTAAACCTTCTCCTGTTTATAAAAATAATACCTTGGAGCATGACACTTTATTCATAAAAGGTACTTTCAATATCATTTCTATGAGTTTGTGTTCTTTCTTTTTAATAATCTAGTGTTATATCTCCTTTAACCTCATTAATATGTATGCTTCCAACATCTTAGATCTGTCTGTATAGTTTCTTCAGCTCTTTGAACACAAATACCCTGATTCAATCTTTTGAGGTAAACATCATAGAGACATCATAGATGATTATCAGAGTGTATATATCACAATCTTGACCATAAGGTCAATTTAAATGGTCAAAGGCACAACAAATGAAAGTGAAAACTTTTCTTTTTTTTTTTTTTTATCAGAATACATAATTTTGTAATAAACAAACACTGGAAAGTTACTCTCATAATGAGCCTTAATGTCTTCCAAGAGTTCAGTTTGGACTTCCTCCATTAATCCTTGTATCTTGTAATCCTTGTATCTCCAATGGTTTTGTGGGCTAAAAATCATGTGTCTTTAACAATCTTTTTTTTTCTGACAACTGTTTTCTCTTATCATCTATAAACTTGACTTCTTCTCTAGTCAAAGGTCTTTCAGGGTAATCCAAGTAATTCTCACCCTCTTTTGGTAATAAATGGTTATATTCTTCATTGGCTTCTTCTGCAATCAAGGGTCTTTCTATGTAATCTCTGACAACATTAGGATCACCCTTTTCTGGACATAATTGGTTATATTCTTCTTGAGAAATGATCTCAATAGTGCCATCTTTTTTTTTTTATTTTAACTGGTATACCTCTGTCTACATCTTTCTCTGAAAGAATTCTCTCTCCAAACTGAATTTTACTCATTCCTTTACTCTTTTCTTTACTAGAGGTGTTACCCATGGTTAATATGAAAAGTCAAAATCTTATGTTACAACTTGTATTTATACCCTTTTCGTCTATATTTAGAATTCCATCAAGCTTATATTACATTACAATTTTTTTTTTCAACTAAGACATTATTTTTTTTTATTTTTTCAGGATTCTCTAGTGAGGGCTTATGGAAATGATCTATGTCTACTCTTAGAATGGTGAAAGACTATCAGATTATGCAAAGACTAACAGAATATCCTCTCTTGGAACACTGAAACAAGAAAACCAAACTTAAGAGGATGGAGGATTTAAGAAGAACATAGATAAATATGATTTCCAACAAATTTAACCAGTACGATCATAGACTGTGGTTAACAGGATGACAAAGAAAGGACCCAGGATTGTATCTTTCACTGTCAGACACTGACTATGGATAAAGTGTAATCATTTATCAAACTGAGATCTAGTCAAATCAAGTATTGAAAATATGATTTTCTGATAGCATGAGCTCTTTAAAAACTAATTCTCACGGACCTCAAAGTATCTGAATGTGACTTTTATTTTTACCAATTCATATTGAAGACTGTTGTTATGTATGGGAATTACACATTTAAACCTTTTATTTTTCATCTAATTTTTACAACCCCCTAGAAATTACACAGATATCCAGATGCTGGATTTAATGTTATTATTTAACTTTCCTGGAATTGTAAATATATTTTGTTTGTGTATGTATCATGTTTAATTTTGAATTTAAAATTGGTCTCAATAAGACCCCCAATGAAGATGCAAGTGTCCCATAATCTTGTGCTAGAAATTACACAGATATCCAGATGCTGGATTTAATGTTATTATTTAACTTTCCTGGAATTGTAAATATATTTTGTTTGTGTATGTATCATGTTTAATTTTGAATTTAAAATTTGTCTCAATAAGACCCCCAATGAAGATGCAAGTGTCCCATAATCTGTGGTTTAATAATATCTTGAATATCTTTATCATACCATATTCATCATACTAATTACATATAGAATGGTTGTAGGAATACACTTTGTTGTTTAGGACACTTTGTCAAGGTCAAAGCATAAGATTATTGAGATGACTTCTTTGACAATAATTTGTAACTTACAAACTTCACATCATAAGTACACAGATGAAGAATCAATAAGATATTTCTATAGATTTTTTTTTTTTGGATCATTTAATCCTGGGTAAAAGTTAGTTACTGAGATTACTGATTTGAGTCCTGTAATGCAGTAACTTTAACATTGTGTGATAACTTATATACTTTATAAAAATTAGGTGCAAATTCTTAGGAAAGGATTGAAATGTTAATCAAATGTACAATGTTCAAGGGTGTTTATATGACTATTACTATGTAATACCTAGGGTTTCTGTAAAAATCCTATATTCACTACATAGATAAAGACCGGTATAATATATATTTTAAACTATGATGAAGGAAAAAAGGTCAAAAGCTCTCCCCTTCATATCTTTCATATTCTGTCATACACAACAATAGATAAATTGCAGTCATATAACAAACTGAGGTCTAATCAAATCCTAGAATTGATATTGTGATTTTCTGATAGTATGAGATCTTCAAAAAAAAATAATTCCCCAGACTTCAAAGTATCTAAATGTGACTTTTATTTTTACCAATTCATATTGAAGACAGTTGTTATGTATGAGAAGTATACATTTAAACCTTTTATTTTTCATCTTATTTCTACAACCCCTAACAAATTACACAGATGTTTAAAAGCTAGCTTTGGTGTAATTATTACTTTCCTGGAACTGTAAATACATTTTGTTTGTGTATGTGTGTGTGTCCTATTTCGAATTTAATAGGTCTCAATAGGACCCCCATAAAGATGTAAGTGTCCCCTGATCTGTGATGTAATAATATCTTGAATATTTCTATCAACCATTAGACTTCATGCTTACTACACAGAACAGGTTAGAGTAATACACTTAGTTTTATAGGACACTTTGTCAGGGTCAAAGCATGAGATTATTGAGATAACTACCTTTGACAATAATTTGTAACCTGCAAAATTCACATCATAAGTAAAGAAAGATTCGGAGATTTTCTATAGATTTTTGGATCATTTTCTCCTGGGTAAGATTCAGTTGTTGTAACTTTAACATTTTGTGATAACCTAAAGACTTTATATCAGCTCTATTGGGTGGCATAGCATATTCTTTGGAAAGAATTGAAATGTAAATCATATGCACTATGTTCAAGGATGTTTAAAGACTATTACTATGTAATACCTTAGAATTCTGTGAAAATTTTATTATCACTGCGTAGATAAAGACTGGTTGGAATAATTTATGTTTTGAAATAAGGTTTAGGGAAAAAAGTCAAGAATGTGGATATGACTTTTATTCAAATGGTGCAGTACAGCAACTCTGGTGATTTACATACCTTCAGTCATAAATACATGTAGATAGGTATTGGGAAGACTCCTCTAGATTTTGAAATTTTTAATTCAAAAAGTATAGAATTTTTTTTTAAGTTTGAAAGATTAAATGGCAGCATATCATTTGCTTGTGAATTAAAAAATAAATCCAAACATATACATCTTTGGATGATAATTGTAGAATTTATCAATTCCTGGACTTCGGTCTTGATATCATCCTTTAATGTCCTTAATATTTTAATGACTGTCTTTTAGTTTTAGTTGAATTAGTTTCTTTTCTACATGTGAAAATTATATCATCCAAAGAAGTTTTTCATCTGCATGTTATATGAAGATAATTTTCATCACAGTGAAAGAGATTGTTTTGTTAAACATAATGCATTGATGCACAAATATACTTTTAAATTTCTAATAGCTAGGGTTCATATTTCTTAATTTGGAATGCTAAGTACTGTTGATTTCAATTTTTTCTGAAAAAAAAAACAAAAAAACATAATAGTAGAAAAAAATATACATGGTGTGTTAGAAAAGCATGTGTAAACCTGATGACTTTATAATTGCTGATTAAATCAATTATGAGTTTCATCTTTGTTACAGTGTAAACATTTCTAAGTAGGGCACACATCAGAAACTCTTAAAATTCTGAGTATCAGGGTTTAACACAACAATTCCAAATGATTATTGGACGCTTTTTATGTATCAAAAAACAAGACAAAACAGAATGTTTGTTCACAGATGTTCCAATGGAAAACAATCACAAAGAAATGATTTGATATGTTCTTTATGTGATTCATGTAAAATGTATTTTAAAATTGTACCCTAACATTTATCTTTTGCATAAAAACATTTTTTTTTGTGGAGAATTTCTCATAACTTTGAAAAAAGTAGTCTTATTGTATAATATGGTTAACTTAAAATTTTGTAGACTTAAAAGTTGTACATGATGTGTTACACATCTTACATATGTAACCATTTCATTTCAGGGCATTCAGCATATATTGTGGTTTTGTGTTAAATTTGTTTGTTCATGTAATCAATAATTTGAGAATACTCAAATTAGGTAATGCATGAGAGAATAGGCAAGAAAATCAGGTTTAAGAAATGGTTTTTACTATTTATAAGGGGTTAATCTATATATTGAATCTATAAGTACATTTAGTCTATACATTTAAGGTATTTGTGTATGAAATAAACTTGTATTTGAGCATTTTAAGACAATTGTAAACATTACTTTAACCAGTTTAAAAAAAATGATTAGATTCACTGTCAGCATGTTATTTCTTGTAAAATAAATGAGAAAACAAACAATTTTACTTGAGTCAGTTTTTTTTAAATGTAAACAAGAAGCATTGGAAGTTGGGAATATTTCACAAAGTTGATGGAGCATAATTCTCACTAGGACAGTAGGAGTATTTTGATTTAAGCATTAAAGAAACCATTTCATATTTCAATATACAAACCATGTTTAGTCATGCAGTATATAGTTTACACTTGCCAAAAAGTAAATGGTATCTCTATTCAGGGTCAATCCAAAGGTCAAAAAGGAATGAAAAAAATATTTCTCTTTATGTATCAAACATGTAGGTATTATTGCAATAAATTCACTGTATTCATTTTTGTTCTCTTTCTATGTATGAATAGCTCTGATTTGGGCAATGAAAATACAAGAAGCAAATGAGTTATGTCAAATGTAATTGAAAATTACATGAACAGAGAATTTTGAGTTTCCCTCAAATATGGCCGCCAAGTGATGTGAAATAAAAACAAAATGTGGATTCTTCTATTAGGATAGCAACTTGTACATAGTATGAATAATGGATACTATGACATTTAGAATGATATTACATTGATTCAATTATTTAAACAGTTCTTTATCCAAACAGTCGAAATGGAGGACATATATTTTTCTTTATAGGCATAAAATATACTCTTTGAAGAAAAGGAACCTTACTTGCTTTTTTGTTGAGTTGACATTCATATTTTTGTGTTTAACAGGTAGACTAATGGTTTCTGACTAGTATAGTGAGAACTTGATTTAAGAATCATCAGATTGTTCTGATATTTTGGTTAAGATAACTGCATGACAACAATGGATTTGTTCATACAAAGGGATATAAGATTTTCCAGGTTTCCTCTTTACTCAGATTAGATTGTGTTCAACTAATATATCCAACATATAAGATACTCATCCAAGTTACACAAAGGTAAATAAATGACATTATTAAGGTTTTTAGTCTAAAGGTCAAAGTGACGAGGACATCTGCTAAATTTAATAGTTTGGATAATATTCATCAAACTTCATGGATAGCTTAATTAAACAAACTTCATAAATTTTGATTTTCAGGTCAAAGATCAGCACAATTTTTTTTTTTGCTATACCATTGTTGTCCATGAATATCTTAACACTTCTATTGATTTTTCAGGTTAAAGATCAATGTATTCCTGCTACAGTAAAAACTTCATTATAAGGATCTCATAGTGATATTTTTTATTTGTAAGGAATTGGGTATAAAATCTCCCACTCTTTCTATAATATGTCACTGAATGTGCTCCTTCATTTTAGAGAGTTTTACAAGCAAATCATATACTGACTTTCAATCCTTCAAAACACAATATGTATATTAAATCTTGAGATTCAGACTTCGGGCTTTCAATCTTTAAAAAACGTTCAATCTTGAGAACTGAGTATTTTAATATCTATTTTGTAAGTCTTGTCTTTTATGTCATTACGATTAATCCTTAGTAATTCAAACTTTTCATATTTGTAAAACCAAAGTGTTGAAGTACAGTGTTTGTGTAATCTTCTTAATGTTTATCAAAAAATTACTGCTTTTAAGGTAGTTCTATACTCGGCACTAAATGGGCTCAATCTTTAAAAATCTGCTTTTATAAGATAGACATACATCCCAGCAATGGATAGACACAAGAAAAATGATATGTCAACGTGTTTACTTTTCCGCTATAGCCTATCAGAGTATATACCCCGAAATGTAAAATACTGAAAATTTACCTATCCTAGATTATGCTGTATATAAATTAATTAAAGTCTAAATATTCAACTTTAATACCCAAAATAGAGTAGAAACATGTTAGTAAACAATATGTAATCCTTGTTTTGCATGAATTATTATAAATAGATGCACTTTGTTAGGCTATTGTATCAAAATTTAATGTGAGAAAATATGCTTCACAGGACAATCTCGGTCATTTAAAGAAAAATTATGGACTCAAACTTTGTAAATTTACTAGGGATGTCAACGAATAGTCGACTATTCGACTGTCAGTCGAAAGGACCGACTATCGAATAATGCGACCGACTATCGACTAAATAAAATACGTTAAAAAAAAGCGATAAATCTTGATTACATGAAAATGTTGACGACAAAATTATTTTCCTGAACAAAAACTGTTGACTTTCCATTATCAATGTATAAATGCATATTAAATGCTCTTCTATAATCTGATAATTGTCAATAACAATTGTTTTTCTGATAAATTATGAATCTCTGTGCTGAGTTTTGTTTCTAAAATTATAATGAAAACACAGTTATTTAGTCATTACATTCCATGTATCCGTAATATTGTTATTTTAGTAATGTTCAAAGGTTCTCACACGGCAGCCGAGACGCTGCATTTCATTTCCGGAAATATGCATAGCATTTCCGACATTTTTTTATTTCATTTCCGACATTTTTTGTTTTCATTTCCGACATAATTTTCTTTTCATTTCCGGAATTTACCTGTGCGGCAATTTAATGTTTTCTAAGTAAAAGAAAATGGAATTTTAAAAGTATTTATACCAAAATATTAATGAAAAAAACATCTATACAAATATGCATACATGTAGCACTTAGTCTAGGTGAAATTGTTCAATGAGCATAAAACTTTTTCACCACATTTGATGTGCACTAAGTTAAATGTCGGTGACAGCACCATACTTATGTCCAAGTCACTGATAGATTTAAAAAATTCGATTTCAATGATTTATTTATGATCTAATCCTTTAATTTTTTCATAAGTAAAGTTATCAAATCTGTTAATATTGGTACTATAAATGTAATTTGAAAAATGTCGGAAATGAAAACAAAAAAATGTCGGAAATGAAAACAAAAAAATGTCGGAAATGAAAAGTTGATAATTTCCAAAAATTCCGAAAATGAAATGCAGCCAGCCGAGACACGTTTTGATAATTTGATTACTTTTATAAAAACACGCATACATTGTAGTTTTGTAAGCTTGAGGGCATTTAACCGTTTTAAAGTTACGGTAATCGCGGTATTAACAATGTCACACGGGCACCTGAAGTGTAGATGCTGTGTTTATCTTATTTTATTTAAATGAGTTTAAAAAATATTTGCTGGTAGTTTTTGATGCATATTAAAACTAAATAAATATAATTTCATGTAAATATAATAGCTACAAGTCAAGTGCCTGTTAATATCTGTCAAAAGCATACGTAATGCATACACCAAAGACGGATAACTCTTGCATAGTCTAACGAAAGTAAAACGAAAATCAAGATTTTATTAGGAAAAAAATGTTCCGAATAGTCGACTATCGTTCGAATAATGCAATCGAATGTTCGACTAAAGAAAATATTTATTTTGACATCCCTAAAATTTACATTATTTTTACTATATTATATTTAAGAAA